GCATTGAGCCATGGCAGTTAAAGTAGTGCTACTCATATCAGTGCTGAATTCTATACAAATCAGGCTGGATCTACACTATGACTTTTTAAAGGCAGTTTTTCGCAGTTTTTCAAGCTGACTTAGGCCAGTAAAATATTACGGAGGCCCCATCTACACAGCCGTATAATCCAGTTTCTGAATCCAAATTATCTGCTTTGGATTATATGGCAGTACAGACTCATATACTGCCAGAGGCCCCAGTGGTGCAGTGGGCTGAACTGCTAAGCTGCAGAGCTTGCTGACCAGATGGTCAGTGGTTCGAATCCGCGGGATGAAATGAGCTCCCTTTGTTAGCCCCAGCTTCTGCCAACCTAGCAGTTTGAAAACATGCAAATTTGAGTAGATCAAAAAGTGCCACATCGGCAGGAAGGTAATGGCGCTCCATATAGTCATGCTGGCCACGTGATCTAGGAGGCATCTACGGACAACACCAGCTCTTTGGCTTAGAAATAGAGATGAACACAACCCCCCAGAGTTGGACTCGACTAGACTTAATGTCTTTAACATAGACTCATATAATCCAGTTCAAAGCAGTTCAAAGTCCATTGGATTCAGTAAGATTTACATCTAACTTCATTTTATTAGTGACTTACTTTTTGACCTTAAGACAAGCCATCTACTGTCAGTCTTCAGCTTATTGTAAGACAGAAATAACCATAATGATTAATTGTGCTTTCAGTTATTCAGCTGTGGTGTGAAACTATCAGTCAATATTTACATACCATTTGGTGCTTTGTGTTATGGGTAACCTATTAAAATGTGCCACCAGACAGCTCTTTGGCTGCTGCTGAGCCTGAAAGCAAAACCATATTTAAAATGTCTACACTAAAAATAAATGCCAGCATGTAGAGAATGAGACAGTTTCTACACAGACTATTTTCATTATGATTTGTTAATTAAGATGCAATATATCCAAGGTGTGTCCATCAGCTGCTGCACAATGTGTCTGCTGAAATTTAACTCTTGGGATTTCAAAGAAAATTAATCAGCTTTGCCAAGTCACTTGCATCTGCTGTGATTACATCACAGCAACCTATCAAAAAGCTGTCAGTAGAAATGCTGGCTTCTTCCTTGAATAATCTGGCAAGAATTGCATGTTTACAACAGCCAACATGTTGTAGTAGTTGGAGTAGGACTTTTGGAGACCAGGCTCAGGACCCCCACTGGGCCATGGAAAACTACTGGGTGATCGTGGGCAAGCCATATTCTTTTAGCCTCAGGGGAAGGCAAAGGTCAAATTCCTTTTAACACATTTTGCCAAGAACATCTTGTGATAGACTCACCTTGGGATTGCGATAAGTCAGAAACAACTTGAAGGCACACCACCACCACAACATTGAAATAATCTGCTTCACCCAGATTTTATTCTAGATTGATGAATAAAAAGCCTAGAACAAGATTCTCATTTATTTCTATCATTTAATAAAATGCAAATTACTAGTTAATATTGTATTATTTTCAACATGTAAATGTTGAAGCCCCCGGTGGCGCAGTGGGTTAAACCCCTGTGCCGGCAGAACTGAAGACCGACAGATCGCAGGTTCGAATCCGGGGAGAGGCGGATGAGCTCCCTCTATCAGCTCCAGCTCCTCATGCGGGGACATGAGAGAAGCCTCCCACAAGGATGATAAAAACATCAAATCATCCAGGCGTCCCCTGGGCAACATCCTTGCAGGCGGCCAATTCTCTCACACCACGAGTCACTCCTGACACGACAAAAAAACAAACAAAAAACAAACCATGTAAATCCTCTCTTCTCAGTCAAAGGACTGCAGCATTTTTAAGGACAGAGGCTTGGTAGAAGCTCATTGCATCAATAAATGTGTTGCCTTTTCAGTTGCCTGCTGAAATAAATTGAGTCACACAGGAATGCTAAAAATGGCCTTAAACTGAGACTACTTGTCAGTCTAGCTCTTGCACCCCACCTACACTGACCATTTCATGCAGTTTGAAGCTAGCTTCAAACGGTGGCAGCCAGACAAAAAAAGCACGTGAAAGAAAGCCCTTAATGCACACCAGTGCTATTTAGTTTGTGTAATCACTATCTAGGCCTCAAAGTAATTCCAGGATTTCCTGTGTAGTAATCTGCACAGAGAATCCACTTTTTTTCATACCTGTTTGAAACTAGATTAAATGGTCAGTGTAGATGGACCATGGCAACATTAATCTGAGAGTTTCAGAATAATTTCCAAACCCTATACTGGCATTGAACCTTCCAGGATTTGAACATGGGATCATTGAAAGCATCTGTTCTGTTACTGAATGATGAGTGAAGTAGTTTCCCAGGTGCTTTGATGTCAGGTTGCAAAACAGGCTGCTTTGACCGATGTTCTGCTTCAGTGATCAGTTGAAAGCATTATTTTTTTTAACTGCCTCAGTACCAATGCACTGATTCTAGAAAACTTGCACATAATAATACCTCTGCATTGATTTTGGGAAAATATTTTGAGAGTATATTGGAGATTTTTCATAAACTCCCACATGAGAGATGAAAAAGCCAATATGCAAATACTTTGAATAGGAGCAGCTTTGCTTGATAAATATTCATTTTTGCATGGCCTCCTATTGTAAATAATGGTTTTCCCTACTCTCCTTCTTTTTGTAGCCGGAACATCTCCATCATTGTTTCTAACCAAGGACATAGGTGCTTCATTTCCATGTCTTATCCCTTTTGTTGAAGCTCTTCAGCAAACATCTGGATGATACTGCAGAATTTCCTCTCATGCAAATAATTAGTGGGAATTATCATGAGACCTTAGTAGATGGATACTTCTCAAATCTGAATTCATGGATAATACTGGACCCAACCAAACTGGCCAGATACGTAGGGATGTGGCAGTTTTCATTCCCAAATTTATTGGGATTGAGGGTGGGATGGGGGGTTTCTATCAAGATTCAAATGACATTTTGACAAATGTGATTTGGGGGGGGGGGAGGCAGATATTTCTTTTAATTTCTGATTTTTTTGTTTCTAAAAGAAAAAAAGATGGCATTTTCTAGATGCTAATGAACATGGCTCACAAATATCGCACAATTCAGAATTATTGTAGGCACATTCCTAGTAGAAATGATAAATTATTCATTATTTATTTATTTATTTATTTATTTTTATCCTGCTTTTCTCCCACAGGTGGAACTCAAGGCAGTGAATAAATGTTTAAACAGAAATTTCATAATACAAAGTACAACATATCCCCCCAACCCAAACAAATAAGCAATAAACCAATACATTGCACAAATACATCACATAAACCATATAAAATAAGCGTAATACATAATGTCATTTATCATTATCATTAAAAATCCCTGGGCCTCAGCCCAAGGAGGTTATTCTTAAAACATTGTACTTAAAATCTCGAAGTTCAGGCTTTAAATCTTTGGCCGTGTGAACCTTGCCAGACTGAAATAGACTACTTGTTAAGGTTTATCGGGGAAGACCTGCTTCCATAGAAAGGTTTTAACCTGGGAGCAAAAGGCTAGTAACAAGGGGGCTGATCACAACTCTTTGGGGAGGGAGTTCCAGAGTCATGGAGCCACTACCGAAAAGGCCCTCTCTCTCATTCCCACCAAATAACTGTACTTGTGACAGTGGTAGGACTGAGAGAAGAGCCTCTCCTGGTGATCTAAGGGTTTATGCAGGCTGATAGGATGAGATGTGGTCCTTTAAGAAGGCTGGACTTGAATCACTTAGGGCTTTATCGGCTAAAACTAGCACCTAGAATTGCACCAGAAAACGAACTGTATCTTAACATAGGCAAAGAGTGGCATAAGAATACCTAGCTTCTTTAGATGAATTTAGAACTCCATGATGAGCTGTATCAAAGGATATAAAGGAAGTTGGAAATGTAGCCTCAAGGTATCTGTCTATAATCTTTGACAATTCTCAGAGAACAAGTTTCAATTCTCAGAGAACAAGTTTCTGGTTTCAAAGAGACCTAGTTAAATATCAGTCCATTGGTTTGCGTTTGATTCCAGGAAAATATGTAGAACCGGTGGCCTGTGACTTTTTAGAAAAGTAAAAGATTTGGAACCAAAACTCTGTAAGGAAAAATTGACAAGCTGCATATCCAGGAGGAGAAGATATTAAAAAGGGCATGGTAAATATTTTCAAATATCTGGAAGGCTGTTATGTGGACCTTGTTTTTTTTATAGTTCATCCCAACTGCAAAAAAGTAGAGTCCTAGCAAACATTAGATGGTAAGATCTGCTACACAGTGAAGTAGACTGCCTTGTAAAGTGGTGGACTTACAGAGATTGGAAGTCTATGTTTTGGAAATGCTTTCATTGCATATTCCTTCATGGTATGGGGTTGGGCTTTGTGGTCCCTTCAATTTCCATGGCTCTATGAAGTTGCTCCTTAGCAGCATAGTATCTAGCTGAATAGTAATGAAGACTTCTATTTCTGTTTTGCTGCTGTTTGCGGATAATTCCCTGAGGCAAATATTACCCTTTTTCTTTATGGCTTACTTATTACTGGCATGCTTGAATCTGAACTGGGATACAGTACCTCCCTCTTTCAAGCTAAGTTCCTGGTTTCAGAAATAAATTATTTTTTGTGTATATATATCTTTTTCAGCATATAGTTTCATCTCCTCTTTGCAGCCAGATTAGAGTTGTAGATTTTCTAATTTTCTTTGTTTTTCTGCTCGGTGTATTCTTTGGGATTCATTGTAGGATTCTTTCATTTCCCTTCATTGTCTGAAAAGTCATGAAATGGCTTGTGTAAGACAAACCAGGATTTGAATCAAAAATTTAGGGAGAGAGACAGTTGAATGGTCCTTAGAGCTTTAAGCATCTGCTCTCCCCAACTTGAGCTAATTCTCTGACATACCCCAGTTCTCTAAGCAGAAGAAAATTCTGCAACTGTCTAACATTTTTGTTTTCTGAATGTCTTTCTATAGCACACTGTATTTACTCAAGCTTTGTTGTTGTTGTTGTTTTTGCTTGCTTTTGTGCTTCAGATTAGTCCCAGAGGATGAGGGAATGGATAGCCCCTTCAGTGAGGCTGTGCTAAACTCCAGTGCTGCAGAGATGAGACCTGGTGAGACAACCCTTGTCCTCCTCCCTTTCCTAGGCATTTAATTATTCACTGAGAGGCATGTTTCTGTTTTGACACTATAACACTGTTAGATGAAAGAGGTGTTAACGTTGCTTTATTTAGTTAATTCCATGGTTTTCTTGACAAATGATCATCACTTGCGGCACACCATCCTTTTTCTTCTACAGTCTGGTGTCACCAGGCTACAAATGAACTGAGCTCATGTGATAATTAGCTCTTTCACACTTCCTTGCTAATTTTGTCTACAGCCTGTATCAGGTTGTCTTCCAGAACAAGCTTTTACTGCATACCTAATAGGAACCTGGGGTAGATTTAGATGGCTGCCCAAGATATTAGATACATATGGTTGGAGCTTCATAATGTTGCTTGGTAGGCTAAGACGTGAAGAAAACACACCAGCATAGTCAGCAAATCCTCTTCAAAGCCCCAGGGAGTATTTTGGTTGACCGAACCCACACTGTTTTGATTTAATAAAGTAGCAAACGTGAGTATGCCATACCTTATAGAGTTTTTAAGCTGTTCCATTCCACCATATTTACATCACAGCATCCTTCTTTCCTTCTTCTTTCATCCAATAATACACTCACCTCTTAGTAAGCAGGAAGAGGGAGGTGGAGGCCCTAAAATGTGCAAAGGGGGGGGGCAAACAATAAGGAAGAAACTCACATATCATCCATAATGTTTGGATTGCAATGTGGGAAGAAACAGAAAAAAGCTGAATTGATGTCTTGCCAGGATCATCAAAAATCAGTCATTATTTATCAGTCTAATATCGACAACTGCCACCAGCTGAAGTTTCCAAACAGCAGTCATATTAAAATCATGGCATTAGATATATAGTATAGCCAGAATCTTTTTAATGTCATAAATATGTGTAAATTTCCTTACACACAAGATTTTGGGCTTTTGGCTGCTTTGCAATGAATGTATTCAACTACTAGTTGTATAAATTATACACATGCAACCATTTAACAGGAATCTAAATTCTTTTGCAAGTTCCAGTTAAGCCTTCCTCTTGACAGAATTTCCAGGATTTTGGTGGGTTGGTGGACTTTTTGGAACAGGCTTTGAGGAAAGAGAGGTACCCTGGAAGAGAAAAAAGAAGAGAAAAATCCCTTCTTGCAAATGGATATCTGCTTGTTCAACAATGGCTATCACCCTTGATACATGAGTAGTTTATCAAATTATACAAACAGATGAAGTGGCTGATACAACTTGATGGTGTTTGTAATTGTTTTTAATCTATATTTACTCTTATTTAGAACCTCCTAACTCTCTAGATCTTGATGGCTCCAACCCCAGACGGATAAAGCTCACTGCTCCAAATATCAATCTCTCTTTGGACCAGAGTGAAGGCTCTCTCCTTTCAGATGACAACCTGGACACTCCAGATGAAATTGATATCAATGTAGATGATCTTGAAACCCCAGATGAAGCTGATTCTTTTGAATATACTGGACATGGTAATGGATTAATTGTGAAATGTGAAAGAGCACGTGTGTGTTTTCAGTATTTTTTCCCCCAGGTAGGCTTGTTGTTCAGTGTTCACTGTTACGGAAGTGAAAGCAGACTCTCAGCATAATGTGTGAATGTGACAGATGACAGTATTTCTATCCAAACAGGAATGGTTATGTTTAAGTTAGATACTCAGGATTGTAATATTTGATTGAAATGAAACTCAAAAGATTCCTCTCCTAATTGAACTGCAGAATCCTTGGGGCAGGAGGGAGGCATCTTCTTGTCAAGTACCATCTTTAAAAGAAGAGTTATTTTCTTGTTCTATATAGAATAGAAGGCACTTAAACAATGGTTCTGGCTGTGATACAGAGACATCATTACTGAAGCATTTTTGATTCAGGTCTATTGTTTAGAAAACATGCCATATAAGCAGCAGCTAGAGAACTAAGTGTGTTTAGCCTGGAGAAAAGAAGGTTAAGAGGGGACATGAGAGTCATTAGGTTGCTGTGAGTTTCCAGGCTGTATGGCCATGTTCCAGAAGCATTCTCTCCTGACATTTCACCCACATCTATGACAGGCATCCTCAGAGGAAAACTCAAAGCCACTCAGTGATTCTGGCCATGAAAGCCTTCAACAACACATGATAGTCATGTTTAAATATTTTAAAAGATGTCATACTGAAAATAGAGCAAGCTTATTTTCTGCTGTTCTAGAGACAAAGACATAAAGCTGTGGATTTGAACTATAGGAAAAGAGATTCCACCTAAACGCATATTCTTTCACAGCGATGGCCCTGATTTTAGTGGCATAAGCTGTTCAAGTAGAAGACACAGAAAAATGGGATTGGGACCCTAGACTTTCTCAGAGTTAGAAATGCCTCTGACAGAATGCATAGTTTGAAAAGGCGGCAAATTATTAAATTAGTTTTACTGTCAGAAAACAAAATAGGTCCTTGTGAGATTACATACAGGAAAAAGAGATTCTACCCAAACACAAAGGAAAACTGCTGATGGTGAAATCATGTGGAACATGCTGTCTCAAAGTGAGATGGGAGTTCCTATCTTTGGAGGCCTTTAAAGAGAGACTGAATGGCCATCAGTTTGGGTTGCCTTGACTGAATGGGGTTGGGCTGGACAGCTCTTGTGACTTCTTCCAATGGGAGTTATCTCTGAATAGATATGTTTGCCATTACACTGTTGATCAGTGGGAATAACTGAAACTATTTATTGCTAATTGAATTACAACACAGTCTTATAAATTTCTACCCAGAAATCCTATTGAGTTGAGTGAGGCTTACTTCACAGTGAGGGGCCATAAGACTTATTTACTCTGATGGCAATTTCAACTGCTATGTTTTGCAAAACAAATAGCTACAGGAGTTGACTGATTTTTCCCCATTAATTCTTTACATAAATATTTCATATTTAATTCAAACATTAACTGTAATGAAAAGCATTTTCAGCCATTACCTAGTTCAAACAATTACAGTTGATAGTGTCATAAAACAAGTAAGGCTGTAATAAAATGGTGTGGTGTGGAGGGTCGGCCAGCCATGAACATCTCTGCATCATTCCTTCTCTTGTCAAGTTTTCTCTCACTTTACCTCATAACATCAGTTACCACTAAACATTGTTCACTGAGCTGTTTTAAGTTGCCTTCCTTTCGTCTTTTTTACAAGATTAATTTTTGGTATAATTCTGCAGATAGCCTGGTGGTGCCTTCCTCTTGTGTATAGGTTGTATCACTTTGGCCAAATCAGATCTCTGCATCCGAATAAAAAAGTGATTTCTTGCTTTCAAATGCAAAATCAAACTCCATTAATGAAAACAGCACAAGGACACATCACACCCATTCTATCTTTCTGCCTTTTTCAGTTGAATCAGTCCATCGGTTCTTGTTTGTGTCCACAAGGCAACATTTGCAAATGAGGTTTCTAGTGTGAGCAGATGTCCCCATGCTTGCCTTTTGAGAGTTTTGAACTTGGCTTTGCACAAGCTCATAAGGAAATATTTGGTGGATCTGCACATTCCCGTGTATACACTTCTCTAAGCTGGAAGTGTGACTTAATTCTGCTATTGATTACTAAGGCATTGAATTATCTCATATACTTACCAAGATTTATATGACCTCCCATAACTGCAAAATCGATAAGGATATTGACATCGTGTAAGATATAAAACTTGTTTATAATGCAAAATACAACAGATCTACTTGGGGGTGATTGCACTCTTAATTTTTTTCCAGCATGACAATGGAACCCAAATAGAAGCAGAGAATTAGTTTGATATTCCTGTATCCCTTTGTTTTGTGACATTGACCTCTGTGGTCTTGCTTTTTCCTGTTAGGGAACTTACAATAAATGTTTCTATGTCTGAAACAAAGCTGAACACTAAGTGTTTTATTGGATTGTGGCCCACATTTTATATGTTCAGTATTTCTCCAGATTGGGAACAATGTAACCTGAAAGCATATCAGTGCAGGAAAGTATTTACTTTCTCTTTACAACTATATTGTTGGCTGTAACTAGCAAGTGAAAAGTTGTATTGTCGAAGGCTTTCATGGCCAGAATCACTGGGTTGTTATAAGTCTTTTGGGCTGTATGCCATGTTCCAGATGTTTCCACCTGCATCTATGCAGGCATTCTCAGAGGGTGTGAGGTCTGTTGGAAACTAGGAAAATGGGGTTTATATATCTGTGGAATGTCCAGGGTGGGAGAAAAAACTCATGTCTGTTGGAGGTAAGTGGAAATGTTTCAAGTGGCCACCTTGAATAGCATTTAATGGTCTAGCAGTTTTCAAGGTGTGGCTTCTTACTGCCTGGGGGAATCCTTTGGTGAGAGGTGATTAGCTGTCCCTGATTATTTCTTGTCTGGAGTTCCCATGTTTTTGAGTGTTCTTCTTTATGTCCTGTTAAGATTTTAGAGTTTTAAATACTGATAGCCAGATTTTGTTCTTTTTCGTGGTTTCTTCTTTCTGTTTAAATTGTTAACATGCTTGTGGATTTCAATGGCTTCTCTGTGTAGTGGAAGGTGAAAAATTGTTGGTTGTTCGGGGTCTAAAAGTTTTTTTCATGGAAAGTATCAGTAATATTGATGAAGTAAAGATGACTCAGTGTCATCGTATTAACATTTCTATGTTTGATCATGAAAGCTGACGGGAAGAAAATTGACTCATTTGAGATATAGTTCTGGAGAAGAATTCTGAGGATGCCATGGATTGCTAAAAAGAGCAAATCAGGGCTGAACTTTCCCTAGAAGCCAAGATGAAGTAACCATGAGAAAAGATGACTCACTAGAAAGGCTGAAAATGCTTGATATGATGAAGGGTAGTAGGAAAGGAGAGAGCTTGCATTTCAGATGAAAAGATTTAAAATCAGGAAAGCAATGGCCCTGAGTCTGCAAAACTTGAGAAGATTTGTTAAAGATAAGGCGACTTGGAGGTCTTCCATTCATTGTGTTGCTATACATTGACTTGGAAAGCAGCTAATAACAACAGAATATGGCTTGCATATTTGAAATAGAAATTCCACAAAGCACTATTCAGTTAACGAAGAGTATCTCACTTATGATATTTTGGATAATATTACATAAACTAAGAAGATATAGGAATTACTTCATCAAATTAATAAGAAGATAAGAATTCCCTGATGATGTAGATCAAAGATTTTTCTGCCTCAGCATTCTGTCTATTGACAAATAGCAACAAACAGATACTCCAAAGAGGTATAACCTAGATGCGGAGGAAAGCAGTTGTGACAAAAGCGGGCAGAAGTTTAGATTTTTTAAAAAATCAGCCTACATGCAAAACTGAAACTGACCCATGCATTTCAACTGAAATGACTTTTTTTCTAAGATCTTGTTAAATTTGAAAAATATAGAAGTATGTTGAAGAGGAGCATCAATAATATTAAATGTTAATTTTACATACACACACACACACACACACACACACACATTTTATATGCACATTTACGGAGATCAAAACAAAAAATCTCTTGCGCTCACTCACCCATCCACCTTCCATCATTTTAAAAGCTAAAGTTGCTACCTTTTAACACTAGATAAAACCAGTTTTTAAAGATCTACTGTGGTCCATGTGGAACAGGACACATACAGTATAGAGTTCCCTGCAGCTGGAAAAGGATATGGTGATTTGTTGCAGAATGTTACTGATGTGTTTCTAACATCAGAGACTTCTTAAAGAGGATTGTTTGCATTTGCATGGTCAGGAACTTGCATTCATTTAGCTATCACATAGCATTGGCATTTGTTCAGGTTCATTCATTTTTCCATCAACTGCAATCAGAGCTTGGAAATTCTAAAGATGCACAGAACTGAAAAGTTGGAAAGATTCTCAAATAACATCTAGCCCAGTGGTTTTCAACCTGGGGTCCCCAGATGGTTTTGGCCTACAACTCCCAGAAATCCCAGCTAGTTTACCAGCTGTTAGGATTTCTGGGAGTTGTAGGCCAAAAACATCTGGGGACCCCAGGTTGAGAACCACATTGTTCCTCTTAAAGCTGACATGTTAGCATTAACTTAAAGCAATAGTTGTCTTAATCCTTGCTCAATGTCAAAAATGCTTTGTCATATTATTCACCAATTGTGCATTACATCAGAGGAGGCATGAGAAGGGTTTTTTGTCCCTTACCATAACCACACAGGCTGGAGATATTTTTGTCTATTTTAAAAATATCTTGAACAAGATTCCTGGGCTACTCAGAGCAGAATAGGACACAGTTGCTTGCTTCCTGTTCCAAATAATCAGCAGAAGAGTCCCACACACAAGATAAAATATAACTGCCAGCCACAGCCCCTAAAATGGCAAAATGATGTGATGAAGATGTTTCCTTCAGAGGTATCCAGCCATAAAGGTCAAGCAGCAAGGTCCTTCACTTGCTAACATATGGCTAGCTGTGCTGGAAGGGCTCAGTACAGCACTCTTAATCTGTCATCCTCCAGATGTTTTGGACTATATGTGTATCCATGATGGATAATGACTATATACTTCCAACTTGTAATTGTATGTGCCTTTGAGTCACCTACCAACTTATGGCAACTCCATATATTTGGTAATATTTTCTTAGTCAATAAATACTCAGAGGTGGTTTTGCCAGCTCCTTCCTGTATAGAAATCAATGTTGATGTGTTTTCGGTGAAAAGAATTTGAGATTTTCATTCTCATTCTCACTCCACATTGATCTTATATTGTTTGCCATTTCAACTTTGCAAAACACAGATCTATTTTCATGTTGGGCTAGCAGACATTTGTTATTTTCCGATGTACCTTTCTTTCTCTTTGACAGCAGCCCACCCTATTGCAAAAAACAGCTCTGAAGAAAGCCAATTTTGGCATTGTTTGGATGTGTACATGAAGGGGAATGAGTGCCCATTTCCATGGGGGAAATACTTTCTACAGCAGACATACCTTTTGGGGTTCTGGTCCATATTGGGAAATCACTTTTCAATAAAAACTTAGGTCAGAAACCTACATTGGGAAGCACAGTATTAAAAACAGCCCATCTAGAAAAAGGAGGTCTTGGAAAACCTTCGATGATCCATGTTCTGTTAATATCTTTATTACAACATGAATCCCAATTCTGGGGAGAAACCAGCTATAAATAAATATACAAATAGTAATAAATTTAAAAAATACATCTTAATATGTGCAAGTTTTCTCTTTGCTAAATGGATCTCTTTGCTAGACACAGAAGTCATGGATCATATCAGCCAAAATACTATTGCGCAGTTATGGATGCATAACTAGTTGTGGTGCTATGCAGAAAATCCCAGTAATTGATGGAAGGTCTGTTGTCCTGGTATTCAGAAAGCAGCTGACTGATGTTTCCACCTCTCCTATGAATGATCTCCATTTTGACAAATAAAAATGAAGCCCCTTTCATGCTGGAGATCTCTCATGCCTGTGAATAGGGGATAGGAGGGGATAGGAATGTGGTTCAGCTGCTTCCTGAGCAACATGGAAATGGAGCTGCTTCCTGGTTAGTGGAGATTGGGAGAATTTCATGGGTTTTGCATGTCCCTTAAACTAGGGCTATGTTAGAATAATGAATACCACACTTACAAAAGTGTAATTCAAGGTAATGCATTCATTACCAAGATCCCAGCCATTATTTTGCTACTGTACAATAAACCACTAGTAAAGATGGTATAATGCTAAAGGATCTATGTAGCAGCAAGTCTCCATTAAAGTTGCATTTGGAACAATCAGGCTTTCCTATTTTTTGGACTAATTCTAGCTAATTTCATTTTAAAATGGAAGTGAAGGGCTCCCATATTTCAATGATCCCAAAAACAGGTTTTTCTGATATCCTACCTTTTGCTCTAACGTGTTAGCTTACTGATTGTTAGCTAGGTGGGTTCTTATATGAGGAGTCCTTCCAATATGCTATCCCATATCTGCAACATGAAATGACTCCATATATATCCATATGATTCTGCTATATATATTTATGAATATTTATAGTGTTATGTTTCATTGATTGTATAGGCTTATTTTCCAGTCTTGGGAAACATGTTTGTTATTGACTGGCTCTGAAATGCATTTAGGGTTGAATTCTCACAAGAGATAAAAACTACTGCAAACACAGAGAAAATCATTACAAAACTGTGTGAAATTTTAATATATGGTCTCTCTGACATGTAGACCTAACCTCATCTCTCTCATTTTATCTAGCAACACAGTCACTACAACTAGCTTGCCAAATGGCCAGGTTATGTAAGGACAGTTTCATTTTCTGCCCTTTGTTCTTTTGGGCAAGAGTGTTGTCCTGAAGCAACTGTCAACATCTGGCAGGTTCAACCACAACCCGGAGCCCCCGGTGGCGCAGTGGGTTAAAGCCCTGTGCCAGCAGGACTGAAGACCGACAGGTCGCAGGTTCGAATCCGGGGAGAGGCGGATGAGCTCCCTCTATCAGCTCCAGCTCCTCATGCGGGGACATGAGAGAAGCCTCCCACAAGGATGATAAAACATCAAAAATCCGGGCGTCCCCTGGGCAACGTCCTTGCAGACGGCCAATTCTCTCACAACAGGATGCTCCTGACACGACAAAAAAAAAAACAACAAAAAAAAACGCACACAACCCAAGCAATGTTTTATTTTTAGTCTCACATTTATTAATGTATCCATCTTTGTTATTTGAAAGGTCTATCAGTAGCATTTAGTTTCAATTGAGCAAGGAACAACTGATATTAAATGTCCAGAAAGATAATTTCCTGACCACTGAAATAATTCTCTATCAAAAGAACACAGGAAGTAAACATTTCAAATTTACCTCCACAACTTTTTTTTGAAATACATGAAGAATATTCATATCTAGACCGCAACAGAGATAGCTTTTGAAAACAGCACCCTAAGCATTCAGAAAGAAGCAGAGTTGGCATTGATCAGATTCTCTTCTGTTCCAGTAAATCTATCATTTCCCTGGTAAATGCAGTTGACATGGTGTTTCCTCATCAGCTTCCCTATGCGGTCAGTGGTTCCCTTGATGTATGAGGAAACACAACATACAAACTATCTACAGACCCACCAAGAAAATCCAACAAATGCTACGTTCAGCAAAGGACAAGAGGGATCCTCTCACTTCTGCAGGAGTCTACCGTATTCCATGCAGCTGTGGACAAGTCTACATAGGGACCACCAAACGCAGCGCCCAAACATGAATCAAGGAACATGAAAGGCACTGCAGGCTACTTCAACCAGAGAAGTCAGCCATAGCAGAGCACCTGATGAACCAACCTGGTCACAGCATATTGTTTGAGAACACAGAAATGCTGGACCACTCTCACAACCACCATATCAGACTACACAGAGAAGCCATTGAAATCCACAAGCATGTGGAAAATTTCAACAGAAAGGAAGAAACCATGAAAATGAACAAAATCTGGCTACCAGTATTAAAAAAACTCAAAAATTACAACAGCAAACAACAGAGAGTAAACAATCAGGCACATCAAATCACTCTCAACAAAAGATTCCCCCCACTCACTTCCAAGCCATTAAATGCTAATCAAGGTGGTCAGTTGAAACATTCACACCTAGCTCCAGCAGACAAAAGTCCTTTGTCCCACCCTGGTCTTTCCACAGATATATAAACCCATTTTCCTACTTCCAACCTCTGAGGATGCTTGCCATAGATGCAGGTGAAATGTCAGGAGAAAATGCCTCTAGAACATGGCCATATAGCCCGAAAAACCTACAACAACCCAGTGATTCCGGCCATGAAAGCCTTCGACTTTCATGAAGTGTTGATCTGTCTGTTAAATCTTGAATGTTACCGGGCCATATTCTGGTCTTCCTCAGTGAGGATAGCTTGTGAATCATGCTGTCCGGCTCATGGCAGAAATGATCTCAAAATGATGTACAGTAATTGTAATTTAGAGCAGATCTGAGCAATTCTAATTCTTTGGAGAAAGTTGTTGTTTCAGCCTTTTCTTTTTATTTCTTCAGAGGAGCAGCCAGTCTCTAAGGAAATTTCTCAGGAGGCATCTGATTCAATCCCAGAGTATACTGCAGAAGAAGAAAGAGAGGACAACAGGTTGTGGAGAACAGTTGTCATTGGGGACCAGGAACAGAGGATTGATATGAAAGCAATCGAACCATATAAAAAGGTCATTTCTCATGGAGGTAAGAAAGTCTCTAAATTCATTGTTGGATCAATTCCAAAATAGTTGATGTTGGAGCCTAATTCAAATTTTCTTAAATTTCTGTTGAAGAAACAGGGATGGGTGAGGATAGTTAGTTTTTTTACTGTGCAAAACTCTGTATACTGTATCAGTAATACATGTACTATATATAATATATTTTTCTATGACTGCTTTACTATTTTTATTCTGTGTATAAAATGCTCAATTTTTCAGATTCGGCCTTCCTATTGCAAACAACATAGAAGGTTAAAAAACCCTTATGTTGAACCATAGATGTAAGGGCCACATTATAAAGGCCAGGTGAAGTGGAACGCTTCACCTGGCATCTGGGAGGAAAGAGCGGAGCAGCAGGGCAAATTTGTCACCCCATGTGCAGTTCCCTCTCCGCAAAAGTTTCTCCCATCACATGGGGAAAGTGTCGCCTTCTGGTAAGGCCCCGTGCTGCCTCCATTGGAGCCAGAACAACACAGGAAACCTCCTGCAATGCTTTCAACTTGTTTGGGGGTGGGGCCTCCACCAGAAGTCACACAACAGTTGTGTGATATCCAACTAAATCAGTCCTCTAAATGGGGTGAAAACGTCCTAGGATGCTAAATTTACCCCATCTGATGAGGTCCTTTATCTGATCTTTTCGTTACAAACTGTAACAATAATGTTGGACTCAATCAATTTATTCTGGCATAACTGATCGGACTGTAAAATAGCACATGGTGCATGGATTCAGGATGATAATGATGCAGTTCTTCTCTTGGGTGTTGGGTCATAACTTTAATACACAGCATCCACTTTCCAAAGTGCCAGGAGATATTGCATTACAAATGCCCCAACCCCCTGTTTACTTTTTAGCCTCTTTGCTTGGCAGAAGTCAGTGTTCCTGAGATGTCATCCCTGGGAATTATTTTCAAAGCTTAATCTCACACCAGGAACAGGAATACAAAAAACAGATTGAATCTCCCCTTATCCAGAAATTTGAAATAACCCCATTTTGGGGAACAAAAATGAGTCACACATCTAGTGTCCAATTATATTTTCTTCAAAAAGCCCACACAGAAAAAGGGAAGGCAGGGAAGTCAGGAAGGACTCCACACATATAAGCTCCCTATGAAAAACAGACATCCCAGATACTTCCATGCTTGCCTTCCAGCCAAGGAATAGCAGCATGTGTTGAGGTGGGTGCCCTGAAAGCAGACGATGAACCCATTGTCCACCATCTGTATCCACTCCTGAGAGAATAAAAAAGACTTGTTCTGGGAAAGTTTTTCCTCCCTTCCCAATTAATTTTCTAAAATGCCTTTGTATAGGCAGAGTCCTATTCTCATTTCCTATCAAATTAATGATGGTGGCAGAGAGAGGGCTCCTTCAAGAAAAGCTCAGTGGATGCTGGATATGTGACTAGCCCCATTCCCCACTATCCCTCATACGTTTCCCAAAATCTGATAAATTTTAAAAATAAGAAAAAATTCAGGTCTCAACCATTTTGGATAAGGGAGATTCAACCTGTAATAGAATATTCTTAAGCATGTCCAGAGCACTACCAGTTATTGATAGCCAGTTCTGGTATTTCAGAGATTTGCAGGAAAATATTCCAGGCAGGCAAGAACCTGAATTAATTTCCTGAATTATAATACTGCATTAATGAGCATAACAGACAGCATGCAAATATATATTCCAGCAGCTTGTTAGAATTTCTTTCTGTTAATCGTGACTAAAGAAATGCCACATTGCACATAATCATTTGGCTATATGTGGAATTACTGCCTCACAAGATTAAAGAGAGAGACCCTGTGTAATTGTAGAGCCACATCTGCCAAAGTGTACAGAGTCTGCCAGGCTCAGAGCCTTGGAAGGAAGGACCTATGACAGCACCATATGATGGCAATTGCATTGTGGGTCCCTGAGGATTTGCTCATTTATATAAGCAATGATAACTCTCACAGGTTTAAAGGAAATGGAACTTGTGGTTATTTTTAAAGGGATGTTTTATCATGTAGTGTCTCATCTATCTACACATACATTTGATCGTTTAAATGCTATAATTATTTGCGTCTTAATATAATCTCATTTAATCCCCAGTGTTTAATAGACTTTAATTATTGGCTGCAAGGCTGTTGTTCATTGTGTTAGGAACTCTTGCATGTGAGCTCACTAAAATTATAAAGGTAGAGATTTCTTTATCAGTAAGGCACCAGATATAGTCTGATCTTGGAAGCTGCACAGCCTTGGTTGGCTCTTATTACTACCTGGATAGGAGACCACCAACAAATACTAGGCACTGCAGGTTGTATTTTAGAGGAAAGGACTGCCAAAACCACCTCTGAGTATTCTTTGCCTAAGAAAACTAGCAGTTCCCCACAATATGATGGCAAAGAAGGTGATGGATAAAGTTCAGGGTGAATCCAAGAAATTAGATCACTCCACGTCCATCTAATTTGTTCCTATTCATGGCTAGGATATTCTACTTACTGTAGAACAGAAGTATTCCAACCATGGAAGTTTAGATATGTACCAAACCAGTTCTCTTGGTACATTTCAATACATGTTTCCAGATTCTGTATCTTATTTTGTTAGCAAGTGCTTTCACTCAGAGTTTTTGATTTTCAGTTTAGACTTCCTTGGATGACAAATAGCAGTTGAGATTTGTGCTAGAGATGTCTCACAACAGGGTAATCTCACATGGAGGTGCCAACTGTGTGAAACAATCCCTTCTTTTTATATATGCAGTTAGTACAATTCTCAGAATAGAAGTAGCTTAACAAAAATTGCTGTCATTCTCATAAGAGTTGAGACAGCTTTGTGTAATATGGCATTACTGGCTCACAAAAATGCAGTCATTACAGTCTTATAAAGGCTTGGACAATAGCTGAGGGTTTATTTATATCTGAGTTGTTCCATGATGCTGCTCAGGTACTCAGATGGCTGTGACAGAACTGCAGTAAGTCCAAGTCTTCCATACCTAAGACCAGCTCATTGTGTGACTTGTTTTGTTCTAGTTTGCAGTACTAAAACAAGACAGGAGACATTTATCACTTACTTATCTGAGATTGATCACAAGGGCAAAGCTGAAGTGGACTTAACAGCAGACACTATGAGACAGTAAACTGCTGGATGTGGAGTCCATCTACACATGGCCCAAAATGCATGAGCTCTCGCACTTTTACTTGAGATGTCCAAACAACACCTCAGGTAAAAACGAGGAAAACATGCTTTGTTCCAAATTAATTAGGTACTGGATTAAACCGGGGTCTTCCTGAAAAACCAGGGTCCAACCCAGTATGGGCCTTGTGTGGACTGCTCCCTCGGAAGTCCTGGGACTTCTGAGGGGGCAGTCTGCACAGTCCTCTCATGTTTCCCAGGTTGAATTAGCCTAGAAAACCCAGAGGGCTGTAACCCCCTCCACAAAACTCCTTTAAACCCCTTTAAAAATAAAATAACTCACCCTGCCACCATTTCTCCTTCTCTGGAGCTCATCTGACACATAGAAAAGATGTGCCAGGAAAAAAAGGGGGGGGAATCGGTCCCCGCTCTCCTGGCACATCATTTCTACATGCCAGGAGAGCTCCAGAGAAGGGGGATTGGCAGCTGGGTAAGTTACTTTATTTTTAAAGGGGTTTGGGGGAAGAAATGTGGGTGTCTCCCTGTCCCCCCCCCCCGAGGGTTCCAGGAGGCATCTAGACACCCAGTGGCAAAAGCGTGGATTTTTCAGGTAGGTATGGGGACAGAAGTCCACCCCAACCCGGGTTTTTTTAACCCATGCCTAAGTGGACTTTTTCCCTGTATAGAACTGGCCTGAGTGCAGACTTTTTAATGGCTAAATGCCAAGTAGGTAAGGAGCTGCAAAATGACTTCTGATGGGCCGTTCACGAACATAAATAGGACTAAAGCATCTTACCAGCAGTGAAAGCACTATCATAATTTTAGTAGTTAGCTTTATTTATTTAGTTAGCTGTAATCTGCCATCTGAAATATCCACAAGTGGGTATTTCATGTCAGTCAATTTTAAATGGCTGATTGATTATGGCTTGCAGATACCTGTTGTTGTTGCTGACTAAGGCAAGGCAAGGTTGGGATAGGGGGAGGTTAGTTGTTGACCTCAGTCCCAGAGTAGGCTGATTCGAGTCCTGTCTGCACACTCAGAAAGGCAGAACTTTGAATTGTCAGAATTGTATTGCTTTTAAAGAGCTCTGGATTTTTGTGCACTCTTTTCTTGCACTCTGTAACAAGAATATTGTGACAATCAGGCCATTAAAACTTGACAATAGTAATCTGATGTATCGTTTCTTAAGACTTCAGATAAATAGAGTTAATCTTTGTGGCCTGCCAGATTGTGTTCTTCACTTTGCCCTTCTAAGCATCTTTTGTGACACACAAATGCATTTTTGTTTCCTCCACAGGATACTATGGTGATGGTGTAAATGCCATCATTGTGTTTGCTGCATGTTTTCTACCGGACAGCAGCCGAACTGATTACCACTATGTCATGGAAAACCTTTTCCTGTGAGTGATGAGAACAATGTGGTCACATCGAGAGAGTTAATACCTGTAACTATGTAGTAATATATAACTGCAGGCCTGTATAACTGAGATAAAGCATATGTTTAAATGTGACACAAAACCTCAGGAATATGCCTTTTTCAGATTTGATTCTCTGTCAGCCTGAGAATATACTTCATTTATACTATATTGGGAGGAACTAAAATTAGAACATGCTAGTCATCTTCATGTCTATTGTGATTATTCATCAAGGTTTTTCATAAGTCTCTACTTCTTGCTTCATATTTAAATAACCCAAGAAAAATTGACCAAGACCAGCTGTAGCTTTTGATTTATTTTGTTTTGTTACACTGCCAGTAATGCAGGAAGTTTCCTCACACTGTCAACATTTGATAAATTTTGGCCCAAGAGAGCACGTATATAAAGCCATCAAATGCCATTTCCCAGTTTTTGGCCATGCCTATCCACTGGATTAGAAGTGGAAAAAGTATGATCTACAGGCAATATGCAATTCCCAAATTCATTTTGGCAGCCTCTGAAGCCCCTTAAAAGCTAACAGAAGCCTCCCAAACAAATTTGAAAAAACTAGCATTTTTTTTGCCTAAAAATGGATCAAACCATTAAAAAGTCCACAAAGTAGGTATCATTCTCCACTCACTAAAACCCACTCACTAAATCCTATTGGTCAGTCCCAATTAGAGTAGACTTACCAAATTTTATTGGTCAGTCCCAACTAGAGTAGACTGATAAAATCCTATTGGTCAGTTGCAAATAGACTCAACTCCAACTACACTAGACTTATTCAATCCTGTTGGTCCCAACTTGATAATGACCTTCATTTTTTCTGTGGATTGGTTGAGAATGGTGGCCAGAAAATGATGTCCAGGTGTGGCCTTTATGGAGAACTTGAGTGCCTGCCCCCACTGAAATTTCCCACCTTGCACTAGATCATTGGTTCCCCACCTTTGGTCCTCCTGGTGTTTTGGACTTCTAGAAATCTCAACTGTTTTACCAGCTGTTAGGAACTATGGGAACTGAAGTCCAAAGCTCCTGGAAGATTAAAGGATGGGAACCATCACACTAGATGAAGGTGTCAGACTTCAGTATATCATGAAAGAATGTAAATGTATTTGTAATGGCTTACCAGAAATGTGAATGAATGCACATGACTGCTTTACCACCAACATGCACAGGATTGCCAGGTGCTCCCAATTGTCACAAAGACCTCCCATGATTCTGACAATAACCAAACTTTATACACAGTGAACTCATTATAAATGTTTCACAGTAAATGTTATAGCAAAACATCCAGTTGTCAGGCCCAATTGGAGTAGTCTTGTTGAATCAATTGTAACTTGTGAAATCGATATTAGGTTTCATGGATTAAATGGACTAAAACTTGTCCATTTAATGTTTTATAAAAAATAATTGAAGATCAACAACATTGGTCTATAATCCTCTATATTGGCATGGAATCTGTTTATCTGTTACATCTTTCTATTTCACTTGGCTAATATAGAAAGGAAGGAACCAAGTGGTTGTGTGAATTCATGGGAGGAAAGCTGGGTGTATGCTGCTGCCAGTGTTGCCTCTGTTATGTGTTAACTGAGCACCATTTGATTTTAAATACTGTCTTCATTGAGTTGCCTCTAGTATCCTAGTGATGAAACAATGAACAATCTTTCCACAATCGTGAAATGTCAGTTTCAAAAGCAGATGAAGGGTGGGGTACTGGTTCAAGTTAATTTTAACCAGTACTGCAGCCATGCATCATGTTCAGCATGCACCTTTTAGCAGCCATTAGTTGCTCTCTCACCAGTGAAATCACAAGACACACCACATTGTGGATTAACCATGGGCAATTTTGTCATATGTTACCGATCAATCTTTGTGTGATCCGCCATCAAATTTCAGGATTTAAATATGAACTTGAATTTGTACATGAATTTGAATTTACACTTGCTCAGCATCTTGAGTGCAAGTGAGGTGAGTGGGGCCCACGATCCAGTTGGCCCTGCCCACAAGAAGTCCCAGTGTGGACTATTTTTCTCTCCCTTCACTGGAAGGAAGCAAAGTGCTTCCCTGCCCCCATGTTGGGGGCAGGAAAGGAATTCATGCTTATTTTGATCTTAAGATACTTAGTTGGAATATTATTGTCCCTTTCTCAACACACATTTCTTTCATTTACTGCTTCTTTTTCCCTGTTCAGATATGTAATAAGTACTTTGGAACTCATGGTAGCTGAAGACTATATGGTTGTTTACTTGAATGGAGCAACACCAAGGAGAAGGATGCCAGGCCTAGGTTGGATGAAAAGATGCTACCAGATGATTGATAGGCGGTGTGTGGACCACTGTTTTCACCTTCTTCCTCTTCTTCTTCCTCTTCTTCTTCCTTGTCGTCATCCTCCTCCTCCTCCTCCTATTTATTTATATCCTGCTTTTTCTCTTCACAAGGAGACTAGATTCTTCTCTTTGTGCAGTACTCGCTCTGTGTTTCATACTACACAATTAAAGCACTATGATTCTACTTTACCTGCCATGCCTGCATCCTATGAAACCCTGGGCTTTGTGTTTTGGTGAGGCAGTAGAGCTCTTCTCAGTACTCCTCCCAAAACTGAAAATCCTGTACCTTGTTTTAAGACCAACCCCAAAAAGCCTTTAAACTATTTTGTATGTAGTTTGGAAGAGTGTGTATTGCCTGCAGCAGGTCCATCATATGTACTAATACACATATTGTGGCTCATGGCTATACAATGGGGAAATGCTTCATTTATTAACTGTTTGTCAGTAGTGCATGTATCTCTGCCTGGCAGTGTATACATATGATCAACACATGACTGACTTTTCTCATGGCCAAATTGCTCAAGTTGAATGAAGGTGTTTAAAATAAGTTTTCTTTTCAAACACAGGTTAAGAAAGAATTTGAAATCTTTCATCATTGTTCATCCTTCTTGGTTTATCAGAACAATTCTAGCAGTAACACGGCCTTTTATAAGGTAAGAGTCCTGAGCCCACAAAAATATTGCACTTGTGCCTAGTCTGATGTTTTGCTTTATAGAACTATTTGTACTGTGTAGAAAAGAAGACAAAGTGTAAGACTGAAAAATATGTCAAGATTGAAAATGTCAACCCATTTTTAAAAGAGTCCCTTTCAGATATACTCTAGTGTAGTGGTGAGCAATCAACAATAAGCTAAGACTTTGTGAAAATCTGTATACTCAGTAGGGTTCTTACTTACACCTTTAATTTTCAGCCTCACTATCCACCTTTGCTCTAAAATAGAAATGCTAATATTTACCAGCATAGTTTAATTAATGTTTTGGATGGTAGGCTTAGGCCCCATCTACACTGCTAAATTATCCAGTTTCTGATCTCAGATTATAGACTCACATAATCCAGTTCAAAGTGGATAATCCAGGTATCAGCATCTAAGGCAGTGTAGATCCAGTCTTAGATGCTAGGAGACTATTTTTGAATCCCCGTTCAGAATGGAACCCCACTTCCAATGCTGGGAGACTAGGTTTTGGATCCCTTTTTAGGATGGAAACCCACTGAGTGGCTTTGGGCAAGTCTCACACTCATTCTCAGAGGAGGGTGAAGACGACCCCTTCTGAACAAATCTTGCAAAGACACCCTTTGATAAGTTTGCCTTAGTGACACCACAAATTGGAGATCACTTGAGGGCAAACAACAACAAGCCTTTACAAGTTTTATGTGAAAACTGCTAAAGTTTACTCTGCACGTTACAAAACTCTCAAATATATAAATCGTGTTTCTGTGTATTTGTGTGTGTACCATTCTAAAGAAGGCTTATATGTGAAATCTATAGTAAATGGCTGATTTGAACTACAGGCAGTTCCCAAGTTACAAGCAACATAGGTTCTATTGGTTTGTTCTTAAGTTGAATTTGTATGTAAGTTGGAACAGGTACATTTTAAGTGTAATTCTACACACACACATCTTCGGTGATAGCACAGGGAAGGGTTAACACGCTGTGGTGTTTCCTTTGCTGTCTATGCCCCGCTTAGAAGATTTCACCTTACTTTTTGTCCATGTGAAAATTGGATTTGGAACTAAATTGGCTTGTTGTGAAAACAAGGATAAGAAAGAAATTGACTCTTTAGTCAATTGAGATACCTTTTCCCCATAATAACTCTTTCAGGAGTGTATTTCCCTTCCATGAGGTAAATTTCCCTCACTTCTTGTTATCTCACCCTGTTCTTAATATGAGTAATTTGTAAGTCAGATGTTTGCAACTTGGAGACTGCCTATATAATCCTATACATGCACACTAATTGCAACTTATTTCTTGCAACTTACTTCTGAATTGATATGTGCACTGATACATTATTAACTACCTGCTATTTAATGCATACTAAATTATAAGTTCCTTTCATGTTTGTACATGCTTGTTGCTTAATTAATGAATGGTTCTTTTATGTTTCAGCTCAAAATTCAGCAGCAAGATACAATATGTGAGCACTTTGGCAGAGCTTAGTGAACTAATTCCAATGGAATATGTAAATATCCCAGAAAGTATTGTCAAGTAAGTGATTAAAGCAATTTTGATATAAATTGCTTTTTGAAATTAAAGGCTTATTATATTTTAGGGAAATTTGCTTGTTCTTTAAAAACCAAATTTCCTTATAGGTAATATTTACACAGTATCCAAAAAATGAAAATGAAAAGCTTATATATAGAACATTGAATGTTTAGGATATTATCATCAGAAGTAATTGATGGATTTATTAAGACTGAAGACATTGATTCATATTTCTGTTTTTTGTTGATTCAAGAACCAGGTGCAAAATTTACAGTGATTTCTTTATCAAAACTAAAAATCGGGAATATTTATTCTAATACTCCCATACTAGATTCTGTGGAGGATGGTTTGAGATGCAGTAGATAGATTCAGATTTGAGATGCAGTAGATAGATTGGATCTAGGATTTTCATTCCATGACTAGAGGTACTCCTCTCATTTACTAGAGATTTTCCATCCAGTGGACTATCGGCACAGATGAAACATTTAGAGATTTCCTCTTCTCTTCGGTGATTCCTTCTTCCCCTCAAAACACATCTGCCCCAGAGAATTGAGGCTCCCTCTGAGGTAGAGGAAGAAGCCGCACTGTGGCTGCAGAGGGAGAAGTGAATCAGGAAAAATCAACCAACTCAATTTCTTTACTTGTGGAATCAATCTGAAAAGATCTGTACTCAAGTTGTGCTCCTGCCTGCAAAGAAAAGGCAGAGGGAGGATGAAAGAGAGGAAAGAAGGTGCCAACCCATTGTTTAGAACATATGGTTTAGATTCTCCCCCCCCCTTTCTCTTAAGATGACTTCACAATGTGGAGAAAAGTTTATTCATATTTGAAATGTTTACTCTGTTCATCATTGAAAATGAGGAAGTTGAAACTTAAGAAAACCATTATTACAAATCAGGGGGCATTCTTGATTCAAGCTTGTTTCACCACTATGCTAATAAATGGATGATTCATTTGGCACATACAAGCTGTGAATTCTGAATAAAGTCTAGAGTAATGGAGCTTACAAAATGTCAAAGTATTATTCTACAAAGGCTCAGATTCCCTGCTGAGGAACAATATAGTGCAAGGCAAATAATGACCTGAGACAGGTGGCATTTGAATGTCACGAATAAAAATAGTATGTTGCTTGGTATTGCAAACAAATGGGGGTGGTCTGTTTAGATGAAGAATAATTTTATTCGCATGGTAGATTGCTAGTCAGAATGATAAGATTAATATCACAATACAGTACAATCCCTGCATCCATATGTTCACAATCATGCCATGGAAATAGGAAATGATGGATAATTTAAAAAACTTTATTAATGAATAATTTCCATTAAATGTTACTATGGAGTCACCTGGGAGGGCCTAGAAAATTGCTGGAGAGGTATTCCCTCTAGGAATTTTGTAAGTCCTCTAGGAGGACCTAATGGTAACTTCTGGTGTAAATATACCATAGAATCACTTGGAAGGCCTAGAAGATTCCTAGAGGACATAATTTGTTGGATGCAGGTAGGTGAAACCATGGATAACAATTCCATGGGTACAAGGGTTGTACTGTACTTTAGAGGTTTTACAAAAAAAAACAGACATTCTCTTTCTTTTTGGTTCTTTTCTTCACATTTCTCTCTTTGCAAAGTATTTTGCTTTATAATTATGTATGGCGATGTTGTACAACATGGAAGATGTATTTTAGGAATGTTGCAATCTACAGCAGATACACCTGACTCTTGTTTGAGGCTTCTAAGGCCCCTTCTACACTGCCATATAATCCAGATTACGAATACAGATAATTCACATTATCTGCTTTGAACTGGATTATATGAGTCTACACTGCCATATAATCCAGTTCAATCAGATAATCTGGATTATATGGCAGTGTACAAGGGGCCTTACTCAGGCTAATGAAACAAGAGGAACCCTCATTGTCAAAAGTTAAAGAGTTAGAGTCCCTTCAAAAATGGCAGAGAAAGATCCAGAATTTTAAAAAAAACATAATTGCAAAAGATTTGGACTCATGCCCAAAATTTATGATCAGAAGAAACAGGTATTTTGCATTATTCTATCTATATAAAAAAGTAGGAACAGCATGAACTGTAATGGAAACAATCAAGACAAGATGAGTTGGATGAGTGTCCTACAACAGTCACTGAGAAAACAAAATTCCTCCTCCGACTATAAATTATTTCCTTGTCTTTTGTCCATTTTCAAAGGTCATTCTTTGATTTGCAAACCTGTTGTGGGAGAAAAGAGCACAAAAGACACTATGGAGGTTCTTTTCTGCTGCAAGTCATCAGCTAAAAAACTGTAGCATTGTCAAAACTGCCCTATTTACTCAAACCTAATGCTCACCTTTTGGGACTAAGTTCTTGTGCCAAAATTAGAGTGTGCATTAGATGCATGGTAATCTTAGTGCTAAGCCAAAGCAAAAGGGGAAGCTGCTGCAGGAGCACCTGGAGTTCCTATTTGAGGGATGTCTTCTCTAATTAAATGCCACAGCTCAGTGCTATGCAACCCTGGGATTTGCAGTTTGGTGAGACATTAGCATTTTTTGACAGAGAAGGCTCAAGACTTTGTCAAACTACAGACTTCATAATAATAATAGTCATCATCATCATCATCATCATCTTATTTATATTCCACTACTATCTCCCTGAAGGGACTTGGGGTGGCTTACAAGACACTCCAGGGTGCACATATGACATAAAACAGGTAAAAACCATACAAAAGTATAAAACAAGGCACATAAAATTATAGCAACAATCCCTGTCAACTCATGTAGCATAAAATCAAAACAATACAATTTTAAAACAACAGTAGATAAAACTAACTGCCGTCAATGCACAAGGTGCCAAGTGTCAGCTTCATATGGTCCCATTCAGCCTACTCAAGGTAAAAGGCCCATCTGAACATCCATGTTTTCAGGTTGGAACAGAAGGATTGAAAAGTGGGGGCCCATGGTACTGAACCCAAACTAATTAAAGTGGATTCATTCTACAGCATAGATACATTTTAAGGTTTTCTTTTCCACTGTTGGAAGCTTTGGTACTCTAACACTTTTACTTTTAAAGAAGGAATTTTCAGGATGCTGCAGTTGTAATTCACACTTTTTTTGGCCAAATTCCAAACAGTGCACCTTTTGCCGCTGTGCATTACATTTGACAGAAAATCCTTTTGTTGGTTTCAGGGTTTGGAAATGTGGGGCTGAGCATTAGATTTGATGGCACATTAGACCCAAGTAAATATGGTACCTGTTTCCTGAAAACTTTGAGATTCTTGCTAACTTTGGTGTAGAAGTAAACATTTGGGATAAATGTGACAATCGTATCTATTTGACCTCATTTGTTTTTGTCCTTCACTCACTTTTATCTTGCAAGGCATGATGAAGACAGGTCTTTTCAGAGAAGAGTAAGGTAATACTCTTGCTCTGCTGCAGCTTTGTGCTGATATTTCTAGCAGGACGAAATGTCCTGTTTTGGGATTCCAGCATCTAACAGTCTCAAATCTAATAGCTCTTTGAATTGAAATGTCACTTCTGGGCTATTGAGATCATTTTATTTACATCTGAAAATGCTTTGGAAGAAAGTGGGGGTGGGGTGTAGTGGGGGAGTCTTATGACACTTTTAAGATGAGCAGATTTATCTTAGCTTTAGCTAAAAACGTAGCATGGGCTGAAATCCACTTCCCCCAAGGCATTAATGGAACATACTAATCATGTCTCAATTGGAGTTTGAGAATTCCCTTCTCCAGCCTACATAGGAGAACAATAAATGGGCACAGATCTGGCATCAGAAATGGCATCAGCTAGTGGGGTGTGGTGAAGTGTCAGTTTAGGACACTGTAAGGCCAGAATTCACATCCCCACTCAACCACAGAAATCCTTTGTATGATCTTGGGCAAATCACACTCTCTCAGAAATAATCAAGGGCAATCCTCCTCTGAAAAAAAATCTGCCAAGAAAACCCTGTGATAAGTTCACCTTAGGGCAGTGTTTCTGAACCTTCCTAATGCTGCAACCCCTTGATGTAGTTCCTTATGTTGTGGTAACCCCAACCAAAAAATTATTTTCATTGCTACTTCATAACTGTAATTTTGCTACTGTTATGAATCATAATGTAAATATCTGATATGCAGGATGTATTTTCATTCACTGGACCAAATTTGGCAAAAATACCCGATATACCCAAATTTGAACACTAGTGGGGTTAGCAGGTATTGATTTTGTCACTTCAGAATTGTAGTTGCTGGGATTTATAGCTAACCTACAATCAAAGAGCATTCTAAACTACACCAACGATGGAACTGAGCACACAGAATGCCCATGACCAACAAAAAATACTGGAAGAGTTTGATGAGCATTCACCTTAAGTTTTGGAGTTGTAGTTCACCTACATCCAGAGAGCGCTGGATCTGGACCAAACTTGGCACAAATACTCAATATGCCCAAATGTAAACACTGGTGGAGTTTGGGAAAAATAGACCTTGACATTTGGAAGTTGTGGTTGCTGGGATTTATAGTTCACCTACAATCAAAGAGCATTCTGAATTCCACCAATTATAGAATTGGGCCAAACTTCCCACACAGAATCCCCATGACCAACAGAAAATAGTGTGTTTTCTTATGGTCTTTGGCAACTCCTCTGACACCCCCTTGCAACCCCCCCCCCAGGGGTCCCGACCCCCAGGTTGAGAAACGCTGCCTTAGGGTTACCTTGCCATCAGTCAAAAATGACAAAGGCACAAGTTGTGGGACAAGAAATTTTAAGAGGAAATTATGAAGGAAAACAGCTAAATTGGGTACATTAATTATATTTGCCAGTCTGTCAGCAGAACACAATAATAATGACTTCTTGAAACACTACAATATTAATAGGCTGCTTTTCATTACAGTTAAGGCTGTAACCAAGGGATTTTTCTTCAGGAAGAAGTTTGCCTTTAATACAGTGAACTTTCTCCAGAGACCAGTAGCAACCTGTCAGGCCTGTACATTACAGATGCCAATATGTTTTTCCCCCTTCCAAAACAGCCCTTTTAAAGTTTATGGCCATTCTTGCAGTTGTCATTTTCTCTGTCTCATTTCACTCTGGTCCCATCCCTGAATATATGTAGCTGTTCATGTAATGGCTTCAGGATTGTACTTCATCAATGCCTCTGAGGAAATGGACTGTATTTCACAACAGTGCTAAAGTGAGTTCTTTAAGTCTTAGGGGTGCCACAGGTCTCCCCCATTCTTTCATTTTGTACTGAAAGAGACTAACACAGCTATATGTTTTAAAAGAGCTAGGAAAACTGACTTTTTTGGAGTATAGCTTCCTCAACCCACCTAGCTAGCATATGTTGGGGTTTTAGAGAGCTGTAGTCCAAAAACGCTATTTACCCAAGCTCTGTAGCCAAAGTCTGCCAACTGGAAATATTCTTATTATGGTATTATCTAACTTCTGCTTATTTAGTCAAAGCACCCTTGCTAGCTTGTAAAGCACGCATGCAGCAGGCCCTTGCTATAACTTCACATGCCTGTTTCCAGATAAGCCAAATTTGAAGGGCATGGAAATGAAAGTACTACTATATTGTACCTTGCTTGATCTTTGCTCTGCTTTTCCCTTGCTTCTATCTCATGCCCTGCTTGCTTCTCCTTCCTGACTGTCCCCGAAACATCAATAACTTTTACCCATGCAGACTGGATGAAGAGCTGAGGGAAGCATCAGCAAAGTAAGACGGCATTCTGGTAATCAATGACATTATATTTCTATGCTGGAAGGACAACTGTTCAGAGTCCATTGTATCCTTGTCTGCATTTCATGGTGAGCCAGATAGGCTATAGGAAAACATAAAACAATTTTTAAATGAAGCAGTTCTACTTGAGCTTTTCTTTGTGATTGCCTATCCCAACAATATGGCATCTCCTAAACAGTATAAAAAATAATGTGATAATAATAATTTTATTTATTATCCACCTCTCCTTGCGGCTCGAGGTAGATCTCATTGATTTATGTGAAAGCTGTCTCCTAGGCATATGTGCTCTACTGATAGCTTCCAATGTTTACTTTAGAGGATCTATTTTGTTGACATTTTACTCAAGCTGATTTACCTTTTTGAAAGGAGTCATTGTCCACTTTCATGAAAACAAGCATGTTTAGAATTATTTGGAATTATTGACGTAGCTAAGATGGACTCTAATGCATCATCTGGCAAACTGAAAATAGAGTTTTTCTGGGAAACCAGATGATCTTATCAACATATCCCAAACAAATGTCTGGAAACTACTGTGCATTATCCAAAGAATATAATCCAGTTGACTTAATGGATTTACCTTTGCCATAAGTAGAAAAAGATGGATACATATGCTGTCAGGAAGATCATTAAATGTGATGTTGAAAACAAGAACTGAAAATAGTTTTACACTGAAAGAAAGAGTTTTGGCTGTGCTTTGGCTGTCAAAAGAATTGCATGAGCTTTAGCAATCCTGTAATTTAGCCTTTCCTTCCTTGGAGATTCACTGGTGATACTATTATAAAAGCTTTCTGGGTCATCATAGCTATTTCAAACTGCTGAACTATTACCTTCTGGTATAGCATAGAGTTCTAATACTCAGTCATAAAAGTTGTATCAAATTTGAATGGTACCTTGAGTGGCTTGTATCATATTAGCTTCAGTAGCATCCTTGGAAAGCAATTAGAGGAAAACCTAGGCACGACACTCCCAGTACAAAAGATTATGACAACATAGAAAGTTTAATAGGCTTCAACCACCTTTCTGTCTCCATGCTAGGTGGAACTTGATGTGATAGCACAAAGTCAGCTTCCATTTTGTCCCTGATTTCTCCCTTTCAACTTAATATGATATATTCTAGCTGTACGACTTGCTGCTGTATTAGTGCCTAATATGAGTACAGCAGTACTGAACCCAAGAGATGTAGACATCAAGGTGTCTCATTTACAGTGTGCAGGACATTTATATATGAAGCAACTTTTCTGTCCTAAAGGTGTAATTGCATTAACATTCTTGCTTTATAATCTGATCCCATATATACTCCAGAAAAGTAAGTGCTTTTGAGTACAATGAGACTTCCTCCAAGGCAATATTCTTTCAGATTCAGTTGCTAATACATATTTAAAATGGAAAATTGAATCCATAAAATGTATGGCTCTTGTAACTACAAAGAATTGAGTGGACTCTTTACAGCCAATATTTATTTTGGCATCTGCTTTTCTGAGCCATAGGGAAACATTTCTTCTTTGCTCTATAGTCATGGTATGTGAACCCACTTAGATGCATGCATCTAATAAATTGAGTTTGGCCCATGAAAGTGCACCCTACAATACATTTGTGTGTGTGTGTGTGTGTGTGTATAAACAAAGTGCATGAGTTATGCCCACAGATACTGAAAAAGACCACACACAGAGGGAGTTTATTGCTTTTCATTTTCTCTTCAGAGCAAGCTGTCTTTCAAATGACCCAGAGATTACTTCAGTACAGCAGGAGTAAGAATTTAAAATTAAATATGCTGTTGCATATGGTTATTGCATGAGCATGCAGTGCAAGAGACATTGACAAACTGTGTAAACTCCAGGTAGCATCTTCCACATCCCACTTTTTATGTGCTCCTTTTTAGGCTGAGGCTCAGGTCTTATGAAACAAAAAGTGATACATTTTTGGTGTAGCTCTCCACATTGCTGTCTAAATGCAGTGATGCACATTTAAGTAGCATGTGCTAACCATACATAAGGAAAGCTTCCTATGATGTTTCAGATTTGCACTGCTGAATGTCATTGTTATTATATCCTTCTGGAGTGTACTCGGCTCATCTTTTTGTTTGTTCCTACACCCTTTTTATATCCTCTCCAAAACCTTTTATCCGTGTGGTTTCATTTGCATCTACTTTGTGGTCTGGAGAGTAAATAGAACAAAGTTCCACTAAAAAGCAGATGTTTTGAGTTTCATCTTCTAGATCAAAAAGCATGTGTGTAGAAGAAAAGCATACCAATGTTTAAGCTGTTTTCTGGGGCCCAAAATTGCGCAGTTTTATATTAGACTGTTACTAATGTAATAATGAAACATTTGTGCCAAGCAGGGAAACATCTGGGCCAGAGGTCCTTAAACTTGTTAAGCAGAGGACCAGTTCATGGTCCCTCAAACTGTTGGGGGGCTAGACTATAGTTTGAAAAAAAAAATGAACAAATTCCTATGCACACTGTACATATCTTATTTGTAATGCAAAACAAATATGAAAGAACAATACAATATTTAAAATGAAGAACAATTTTAACCAGCGTAAAAAGCAGGCCCACACTTCCCATTGAAATACTGGTAATTTTACGCTGGTTAAAATTACCAGTATTTCAATGGGAAGTGTGGGCCTGCTTTTGACTGATGGGATAGTCAAGTTAATTCGGGTTGTTGTTCTTGTTGTTGTTGTGTGTACCTTCAAGTCATTTCAGACTTAGGGCGATTCTAAGTCAAAAGTTTGGAGGGCAGCATCCAGCTTGCGGACCTTTTTTTTTTTTTTTTTTTTGACGGCCCCTGCTCTAGCTCTTCCATATTTTTTTACTCCAGATTCATCCACAACATTGCCAGTGTTGCTGTCAACTGATGATAGAAGTTAAAATATAATGCTAGAGCTATAAACAATTGCTTTTCTCAAAAATCTTTCCCCCTCTTCCATGTGAGACAGGGAGATATTTCTTCCTCTCATATTTGATCACAACCATTTCAGATAAGGACTACACAGTCTTTGTAAATTTTGTTTTTATATATCTACTATTGTAACAAACATATCATTGAATTCCTGCATAATTCTAGCTATGATATATAAGATACTGATGAAAGTAGCCATCATAATACCATCTGAGGGCTAGGATGAGGGGATCAAATGCTGCATGTTTCATTTCTGTTTGATTGCATGCTTATTTGTAGTGAGATACTGAGGAAAAAGGTTGACTCAAAAGACAGAAGTACACTCAACCGTTGCAATGATTGGACTGTATTAAGAAAGAGGACAAGATAAGAAAAGCATGTGAATGGAATACAGAAAATGGCCAGAAAATTTAAAGAAATAACTTGTGTTTTTAAACCTACATAAGAAAATTCAGATAGTCATCAGATGGCAGGGCGTCTATCTGTGCCTGCTGCCCTATGCTCTTTGGAGGAAATTCTGGTTGCACATTTAACAATTAAATACTAAATGTTTTTTCTTTTTTTCTTTAAAGTGTCGACATGAAGCTGAACGGAAATTCCTAACTTTCTTGGCAACCTGAAAAAGAGACATTTCCTCTGTTTGATGTGCCTGAGCATTGAGGATGGGGACAATTTTGGCTTCTCAAGTCAAATACAATCCTCCAGAATCTTCTTGTTCACAAGTCTCATCATGACCATGAGACCTATATGTGCAAGAAACTTTCCTGGTTGATTGTACTCTTTGTTTGATCTTTCAGTGCCATTCAGTGCTTTCTAAGGTAAAGGGGGATGGAAGCAGTCTCATTCCTGTTGCTACTAGACAGAGAGCTACAGGTGGATTATGGTTTTATGTAATCTTAACTTCAGAAATGTTGCCTGCAATAATGATTCTGTCTGCTTTTTTCAATTCCATGTTGCTTGACCATTAATGTGCCTCATATATGATTTTATAGATTCAGTTAGTTCCATTTCATCTTCAGCATATTAGCATTTCTGCGCATAGCTGAACTAGAGGTATGATGCTCCCTATAACAAAACTAAGGGATTTTTGACATACGTGTCCCAATCCTTTACAGTGTGCATCAGAGGGACTCTGGGGGCCCTCCCACAGAGGCCCCAAAATGCAGAAGAAACCGGGATAAAAGGAGTGTGTGGCTACATGACATTTGTCAAAAATGTGTACTGGATCACATCAATGGTTGAAAAGCACATGTTAAAAAGGTGTGCTTAAAATTTGATTTCGTCCAAAAATATGCATATTCACATCACTGTATATCCCTGCAATCATCTCAAATTCTTGTGCGGACTGCTCTGGTGCGAAATTCCAAAACAGCTGATGAGGGCTGCAGACAAGTGAACACACAGGTGGCTAAATGGAAGCACAAATGGAAAGCAATTCCCACAAGAACTCTCTGCAACCATTCCTTTGTTCTGATGTTTATGAAATTAAACAGAGATTGGATTTACACAGTGGGCACCAGCACAGCAGGCAAGTGACCCCAAAGGGAAGCGGGATTCAAGGGGGAAAAAGTAAAGGTAGCAGGAGGGTGATGAGATATAATGACAAGAAATCTATTTGTGTGCACATTAGTATATCATCATTAGTGCTTATGAGGTCCAGCACATCATGGAGAGTCAATAAAACTAAATTAAAAGTAAACTTACAGCAGATGTCATGTGTCTATCTTGTGGATTTCCAAACTCTGCTACAACTCAATCTGTCAGGGCGCCAGGGGAGCATTTACTGGGACTGAGCTCCATGTCTTGACTCTCCTTAAGATACTGAGATTTTTTTGCCCCACTTATTTGTCCCGCATTTTGATACTGTCTAAAAGCAAGAGTCCCACATCTTGTGGAGCACCATTAGTATTTCACAAAACTTGGGTTTTCAATATTAATTGTTTGTTATGTGATTTCATTAAAAGTGTTTAGAATTCATTTCCTATCACAGTGCCTATATTTCAGACACTATGCAGGACCACTTTTGAAATTACTATGCCCTGAATAAGAAGGATATATATTTTTTGTAGTTGTGAGGATGCAGACATAACCAAGAAAAAAATTAATGAAGCTTCTATACAAGCTAATCATTACAAGAGAACCTGAAACCATGTACAGATGGTAATGAGAACATAGACTGAAATATATTAAGTATGGGTCAGATGAACAGCTGATATTTTGAAACATCTTTGGAATGGGGAAATGAAAGGTCTGCTCTAACTGAATTTCTGTACTAATTATCACCACCAACAATACATCAACACTTCTTGGTAGTTATAGAACAAAATAGTGACAGAAAAACACACATTCCTTTAAGGAGAAAGACATACACATTCTGAAACATACTTGGTTTTCAAATGGTGGTGATCAATGGGTCCATTTGACAGATCTAATATAGATAGCCATGCATTGTATATGCCTCATTTAATCAAAAATGTAAGGTAATAGACTTTACAATTAAGTATAATAAACTTAATAAGTCGCCAGTCATTGCCATTCTACTGTATAAATATAGTTTTAAGTAGATTTAGGTATAAATCAATGGTATCTGGAGCCATTGTTATGATTAACCATAATAAGTCATTAATCATTAATAGTCAGGATGCAGAACCAGAGTGGTAAAGCAAAATCCTGTGGTAGCCATTCTTTCTAGTTACATATTACTTAGATTCATAATGGACCATTCAAATAATAACTATTGGCGATCTGTGCATTATTCTGATTTTTTCCCCATATAGAGGGTAGCAACTATTTTTATCTGGACAATAGTAAAATGTTTTCCAGAGAATGCAAACATCTGTGCTTGCTTTTTGTATTTTTGATTTTTGGTGTGCGTGCACATCAAATTTTATCCACATACATACACACACAAATTGTATTATTGACTATTCATTCATGAAATTGATACATGTGTCAGCCCATATCTGCATCATTAATTCCAACATATCTGTGTTAATTTGATTATTTTGATCCTGTACATGAACTTGTGATAGAAACAGAATACTTGGATTTTTCTTTTATGTGTGAGAGGTGGGTTTCCTTTGGCCCTATAGTTGTTTGGGACTTCTTAAAACCACAAGCAACATGTTGGGATTTGTAGTTCTAAACACTTGGAAGGCCAAAGGTGATCATCCCAGATATACTTCAGATTCTTGTTAATTAAATTTGGTTTTCCTATAGAAGAAGATATTTCTGGAAGAGATATACATAAGATATAGGTTAACACACACAGACAAACCGGACTGAATGCAGTTTAATGGAAAGAAACAAGTAGATATCCTTGGAGCCAGATCTTATGGGAAGAGTGATGAGGCAAAGCAATTGTGTCTTCTCTTCATCGTTCCTTCCATAATAACTAGTCCTCAAGGCCTTTATAGAGCCAAGACCTTAACAGAAAGACTACTGTACAAGGCCTGAATTGTCATGACTGCTGTAGTGCAGTGGCGGGATGTTCCACTTCTCATTTTGAGTAATGAGAAAGCTATGATTGATCCTGCAAGGTAAAGAATTATTTTTATTGAAATGTTGGGGGATATTTTGCTTTTGTCTTTTTCTGCATATCTGTCAACCATACATTAAAGGAAACCATGGTTTCTGCTCTTCGATTCTTGCTTTCTTCTTGTGATTTACTCGTGTTCCCCCCCCCCCCCTAAATTAGACACACCTTGAATTTAGGGCTTGCTGCTTTCCCCCTTTCATCTATAACCCAGCTTCCCTCTATACGAGTCTTAGCAGCCCATTTGACAAGCACAGCAGCAGATCAAATTCTAATTCATTAATCAGTTTTTTTACTTTCTTGTGCTTAAAATGGATTGTCAAAAATATTTCAAAGCACGACATGAATATTTAGATATGCAAATATTCACATTGTATTTTTTTTAAAAAAACTACTACCCCAATTTCTTGGATAAGGATGAGTAGGAGGAAGAGGGGGTGATGGTGTTGGCTGGAGAAAGGTAGTGCTGGTGACATTATTTCTCATTCAAATAATGCTATGCATTACTGGTTTATGCTGCAAAGTGGGTGCATTTCTCTCTTGGGTTAGCCCTGAAGAGATGGGTGCATATATGTACAAACTCTGTATATGATTTTTTCCGTTAACTCACCATTCCAATTATGCCCTTCTGTATACAGGATAAATATTAACTCTTAGTAGGGAAAAAACATAAACAATAAAGTCCATGTGTTACCAGTTTCTGAGAATGGCATCCTGCTTATCTTTATATTCTATATTTGATCTAGCCCTTCTGATCTGATCTGATCTAGTTGCCATCTAATCTGTTGATTCTTTATGAGAACAAAAGTTGCCATAGATTATTTTAAATGCAAGATTTCTTGTCACATTTTAATCAATATAGTATCATGTCCTTTTCTTCCTTGTTTTGAGTCAGTTTTTGTTAAACAAGTGAACCTTGGGGCTTGTCCAGAAGGAGAAAATTTCTCTGGAAGTATCAAGAGTTTCCAGTTCTTTGTGAATTAATTTTCCCTATAGATTCCCAGATTGGCATCCAAACCTTTTCTTGAAATATCATGGATTTTTCTCTATCTCCCTTTGATACCTTACACTGAGATTGTGTTTTGCCAGTTTCCGCTGAGCCCAGTTTTAGTGACATTACATAAAGGATACCCATTGGGATAAATTAATTGTGGTGCAAAATTTCTTCTTTCCCTTTGTTTGATGTCTATTGAATCAGCATCCTGGAAGCAATAGCTATGTTTAATGGCTGCAATCATTTTACTAGTTTCCAGATAATACACAGAGATGGCAAAGTGAAATGCCATTTCAGAAAATATGGGGTAAATTTAAACTGACTTGGGAAGCCGAAATGAAAAGACTTTTGTAATGCCAGTTCCCAGAAAGTACTCTAGAATGAAGAAAACCTTGTGTGGATATCTAAAATAAAATAGATGTATATAGAAAGAAAACTGGGACGTCTAATTATTAATCTGGAGGAGTTTTCAGTTAATGTAAGCATGAAATTTCTTTCCTGTCTTAGAAGGTATCAATCCTGTGAAATACCTCAGTTACTACACAAGGGAGGACCCCAATTAACAGTGGGCATTTAATTCCACCTTAAAAATAGTAAGATTTACACTGTGGGCTAAATGCATTATTTGTTACTTAAATGGAACTTTCTCTTAACTAAATAAATCTACATAGGATTGTAGGTATGCAGCCCAATCCAATGTTAGATCGTGTATGCCTAAACCCTCTGAATGACATCCTAAATTTTATTTTATTTATTTATTTACTTTATTACTACTCTGTTCTTCTCACCCTGAGGGGGACTCGGAGCAGCTTCCTAATTTTGGCAAAATTCAATACCACAGTTATACAGTAAATAACAATAAATCATTAAAATCAATAAACATATAAATTACAATTAAAACCAGTTAAAATATGTAACCAAATCACCAATCCTAAAATCGTCATCTGAATTATTTCTTATCTCGGGTCTGTGGGGGTCTATTGCACTTTAATTTCTACCCACCAAAGGCCTGCTTCCACAACCAGGATTTAAGTTTTTTGCAAAAGATCAGGAGGGAGGAGGAGAATCTGATGTCATGGGGGAGGGAGTTCCACAGCTGAGGGGTCACCACTGAGAAGGCCCTGTCTCTCATCCCCACCAATCGCATCTGTGAAGGAGGTGGGACTGAGAGCGGGGCTTCCCCTGCAGACCTTAATGCTCGAACTGGCTTATAGAGAGAGATACATTCAGACAGGTAAGCTGGGCTGAAGCCATTTAGGGTTTTATAGGTTAAAGCCAGCACTTTTAATTGTGCTCAGTAGCAGATTGGCATCCAGTGGAGCTGATGTAATGGGGAGGGGGGGTTGTATGCTCCCTCTGATGAGCAACTTGGCTGCCGCCCGTTGGACAAAGCTTCCAAACAGTCTTCAAAGGCAACCCCATGTTGAGCACATTGCAGTAGTCTATTCAAGATGTAACGAGAGTATGGATCACCGTGGTCAAGTCTGACTTCCCAAGGTATGGGCACAAATGTAATGGGGAGAGAAAAAGCCGGTTTTCCCTATTTGAGCTCACTAGCAGAACTTAGAGAAATCTATTTTTGTACTGCAATTCCAATAATCCCTCTGTCATCACGCTCAATCATCACAGTAACTGGTGTATCTCTCTAAGGTAAAAATTACCTAAAGTCCACCAGATTGTTCCAGGATATGAAGTAGAATATTCCTCAAGTACTTTCCCTTGGGAGTAGAACCAAAAACAAAACAAAACAAAAACAAATAAAAGCACGGTAACTAACAACCTTCCACCCTTTTATGACACCCAAAATCTGCTTCTTGAGGTGGCCATTTCACTGTACCTAACAGTAGTAATGATCTTATAGCAAGTTGCCTGTTATTAATAAGACCATTAATGAGATTTGAACTTTCATATAAAACGTGTGTGACTCGATCCAAACCATGAAAAATAGAGATTATATAGCTACTTCTATGCACCAGTGCCATGTAATCTGGATGCAATTTTAAATTGTGATGGGTGCTTTAAACTCCTGCTTCCCCCACCTTCATGGTCCTTTGCTTCTGTCTGCTTTTCTTCATCTGCAGCCCATTTTTATTGTTTAAAATAATCACAGATTTTCAGAAGGACTCCTGCAACAGCTAACATAGATTATTTTTACATATGTTTATTGCTCTTCAGTTCTCCGGACAATGGATTCTAATAAAAGTTTTCCTAGATTTTCCACTTCTTCTTTACAAAATTATTATTATTTATTATTTACTACATTTATATACTGCTTTTCTCCCCTAAGGGAACTTAAGGTGGTTTCCAACATGATAAAGGCAAAATTCAATGCCCTACATACATGTGAAAACCAAAAGATAATAACACCCCTCATTTGAAAATGAATTACACCCAAGTTATTTCCTTTGCTTTACTAAGCCTAACTTGGCGAGACTGATAACAGAAGAGTGCAGGAATGTAGTGGGGAGGAAAGGTCACAAGTGGAGAACTGTGTGGGAGGCGGTAAAACAGCTGTTTGCCCACTGGTTCCCAACCTGCATGTACACTCATGACAACAATGATAAAGAAACCTAGTGTATAAACATGTTTCTGTCTCCTATAACCAATATTTATCCCATTCATTCTCAATGCTTGATTATTCACCTCTTTGCTATCTAAGAATTGGAAGCACCTACCAGAAATGAGTGTTTAAAATACTCCTCCATCTTCCCAAGGTTTACATTTCTAACTTGGAATGAGGTCATCAGGGCAAACAGTTTCACAGGAAGACTGGGCTCCTCAACTTTAATTAACTGCTAAGAAAAACAGAATTTTTGCAGGTGCAGCAATGGCTAAAATCTCCACTCCTCCTCATATACAAATATTAATAATGCTGGACTCCTGACCTCCTTAGGATCTGATTCCATCATCAGCTGGAGCACAAAAAAGCTTGTTACACAAGATTATTTTTGGCTAATTGCCTTCAGTTTCATTGGCCAGTGGAGTAGCTGTCAGACAAGGTGGTATTTTATCACCCTGTCTCTTGAATTAATGTGCAAAAAGTATCATATGAACACCAGGCTCAAACTCAGCAGAAGAAGTAATGAAAACTAGGAGGAAGGAACATGGCAAATGAATTGGTCTTAGAGCATCAAGCAAATCAGGCCTGAACTTTTACATTAGAAGTCAAGATAGTTAAACCTAAACTGTCATATTTTGGATGTATCATGAAGCAATATGTCTCATTGGAAAAGAGACATAAAGCAGCATAAAGTAGGAAAAGAGGGTGACTATACTATAGGTGGGTTAAATCAATCAAAATATCCACAGCTCTCAGTCTACAAGACTTTCAAAGAACAACTATAATCTGGGAGCTTGGAGATATCTCGTTCATAGGGTTGTCATAAATCAAAGCTGGCTTGATGGCAAATAATAACCAAGTCTGGGCATAAGACCTACTATTCTGTTCTAGGACCTGTCATGGATATGAAAAAAGCAGGCATAACACCCCGTATCATGAAATCAAGTCATGAACACATATCATGAAATCAAGTCAGTGTGTTTTCATTCATGCCACCATTTACTAATATGGAGTGTGATAATCTGTAATAACTGGAAATTGTGGATTTGGCTCCCACAGATCCAAGGACCCACTGTGTTCCTTGAAGCTGGTTCACTAATGGTCCATTTCTGGGCACAATTAAGCATTCTGGTTCTGATTTATAAAGCCCTGGACAACTTAGGTCCAAACTATCTGAAACATGGCCTGTTTCCCTCATGTTGTTTATTCATTCAGTCACTTCAGACTCTTCATGAACTCATGGACCAGCCCACGCCAGAGCTCCCTGTCGGCCGGCACCACCCCCAGCTCCTTCAAGTCAAGCCAGTCACTTCAAGGATACCATCCATCCATCTTGCCCTTGGTCGGCCCCTCTTCCTTTTTCCTTCCATTTTCCCCAGCATCATTGTCTTCTCTAAGCTTTCCTTTCTTCTCATGATGTGGCCAAAGTACTTCATTTTTGCCTCTACTATCCTTCCCTCCAATGAGCAGTCGGCTTTATTTCCTGAAGTATGGACTGGTTGGATCTTCTGGCAGTCCAAGGCACTCTCAGAATTTTTCTCCAACACCACAGTTC